ATAATTTTGGAAGTTGCATTTGGGCGTGCTGTCGCGCGCCGGTGTGACCTCAGGAACAGGCTGCTTGGAAGCCGTCGCCTTGCAGAGCAAACCTGCAGGCTTTGACCTTCGGCTTGGACCTTGCGGCTTTGTCATGCAGGTGGCCGCTCGGCGTGTTGGGCGACGCGGTGGGGCATGTTGGCGTTGCCTTCAGTGTTAGATACCCCCATGGTTTCGGTTTTCGGCTGCTGGGGTCCGATTGATATGCACACTGGACACATGGATCCAAACTTTCATTCGCATTAACCTCGGCCTTCTCAGTGCCGTGCGGTGTCCGCACTTTGGGGGAGTTTGGAAGTTGCGTTCGAGCGCGCTTTTGCGCGCCGGGCGACCTCAGGAACAGAGCTTGGAAGCCGTCACCTTGCTGAACCTCTGTCTGATTCGATCATCATGTGGCTCAGTCACAACATATTGAAATGATCAGCTCCATCTCAAAACAGAGAACTTCCATTTTTCACTCAATAGTCGAAGAGGAACCGCAGTGTCACAAGTGATGTGTAGAAAATGCAAAAACACACTCATTTCCTTTAACCTCTTGCATAGTGTCCCATAGGTACCGTCAATGCGTGCGCTACTTGTGGAATCAGTTTTCGTGGCACGCACAGGGGACCTCTTTGCGTGGCATGCGCAGCATTTGGTGAACCTCTGATTCGATTTTTCGGGGCAGGCGCAGCGTTTGTTAAACTTCTAGCTCCACTTTTCGTGGCAGGTGCAGCATTTGGTGAACCTCTGTTTCCATTTTTTGCGGCAAGCGCAGCATTTGGTAAGCTTCTAGTTCCACTTTTCGTGGCAGGCGCAGCATTTGTTGAACTTCTGATTCGATTTTTCGGGGCAGGCGCAGCGTTTGGTAAACTTTAGTTCCACTTTTCGTGGCAGGCGCAGCTTTTGGTGAACCTCTGTTGCCATTTGTCGTGGCAGGCGCAGCATTTAGTGAACTTCTTGTTCCATTTTTCGTGGCAAGCACAGCATTTCTTAAACTTCTAGTTCGATTTTTGGTGGCAGGCGCAGCGTTTGGTGAAAACCTGCTTTCATGTTTCGTGGCCGGCGCACGGAATTTGAAGCTCCAGGTGGCCCAACGTGTGGCCAGACGCTGAATCGTAACGTTGGAATCCAACGTTATGCTCGTTTTACGTGGCAGGCGTGGGACAAAAGTCGAAATCGTAACGTTGGACGCGTTTGAAAAAGATTATAGTAATTCTCTTTTTTGAACCGAGTCCAACGTTATGATTTGCACTTTTTTGTGAAACTGTCGCCGAAAACGGATCGTAACGTTGGATTCCAACGTTATGATTTGCGTTTTCGTGTGGGGAGTACTCCGATTTTGGCCGCGCTGGCTGTGCTGAAAGTGAAGATTTCGTGACAGGCGCAGCGCTTTGTGAACCTCGAGGTGCCGATGTCGTGGCAGGCGCAGGGCTTTGTGAACCTCGAGGTGCAGATTTCGTGGCAGGCGCAGCGCTTTCTGAACGTCCATGTGGAGATTTCGTGGCAGGCGCAGCGCTTTGTGCACCTGAAAGTGCAGATTTCGTGGCAGGCGCAGCGCTTTGTACACCTCGAAGTGCAGATTTCATGGCAGGCACAGCATTTTGGGAACCTCGAAGTTCGAAGTGGAGATTTCGTGAACCTGAAAGTGCAGATTTCGCAGGAGGGGCAGCATTTTGAGAACCTCGAAGTGCAGAGTTCGTGGCAGTCGCAGCACTTTGTCAACCTCTAAGTGCAGATTTCGTAGGAGGGGCAGCGTCTTGTGAACCTCGAAGTGCAGATTTCATGGCAGGCGCAGCACTTTATGAACCTCGAAGTGCAGGTTTTGTGGCAGGCGCAGCGTTTGGTGAACCTTTGCTTTCATTTTTCGTGGAAGGCGCAAGCTTTGGCGCACTTTTAGTTTACTCAAACTGTGGTTCCTGCCAAACAAAACGCACCAAGTTTAGGACTCTATGATGGTAGTTGTATATAATGCACGCAACTGTAAATCATCACTAATCATGTCCAAGGCCATGGCCACGTCGAAGTCCTCCGGATCCGCTTCGCCCGCTTCGTCCTCTTCGTCCTCTTCATCAAGCCATGAGGAGGAAAAACCATCTGTGACTTTGGGCAACAGCGACACTTCCACAGAGGCTGAGAATGCGCCAGCTAAAGCGAGGGCATATGCTGGTATGTTTACTTGGCCATGTCCGCGGCATTTTTTCCAAGACTTGGAAGATCGACGAGCAGCAAAGGTCCTTAAGCCTTGTGATGTTTCCAAGGAGAAACTGTTGGAGGCCTTCACAAAAGCGCTGAAGAGCAAAGGTTACTTGCACAATCTTGTGAAGGCTGCCGTGGCGGATGAACCGCACAAGCATTACCAGCCCGATGGTGCTTCTCGGGAAAGACACAAACACCTCATCTTTCTGTTTCGAGCTCCGTTTGTGCACGCTGGCGTTCGCAAGCTGTTGGCCGAAGAGTTTGGGTACCATGGATTCTTCACATTTCATCGCGCGGGCTGGTGCGCCTATCTGGATTACCTGATGATGGAGAGCGCAAAGAAACCAGCGCATGATTTAGACCGTGACCTTGTGTTTTATCCGTCAAGTTACACCAAGCAGAAAGCTGATGGCGAGCTTGCAGGGATGTCCTCGCAGGTGGCTGGCAGAAAGAAGAATGAGGGGCTGCAGAAAGGTCCGTCGGAGGCCTTGCAGAAACGACGCCGGCGCATGTCTTTTAGCGAGCTTACAGACTTTGTTGTCGAAAGGAAGATTTCAACAGTGGCAGAGCTATGGAAGGCCTGGCACACATACAATCTGGAGACTGTTTTCCATCAAGCGTAATATCAGTCTTAGATAAGCATCCTCCTTGGTAGAAACAACGCGGTTGGAACGACAAGGTGCATCATAGGCAGTCCAATGTTTGGTCCAATCACTTCGTTGGGGATGCCGCGGGTTTTGTGGTCATGCCCAAAGTGCTTTGTTTATAATTCCCTCTCATCGCCAGGCCGCCAAAGAGGAAAAGATGCGTGGCAACTCTTTGGTTTGGGACCATGTGGGGCAGCTTCGGGATCCAGCTGCGGAAGTGCAGAAAATCTTGGCTGCGTGGCACCGACCTGAAACCTTGGGGGCTTCAACTCTTATCGCCTCACCACGCTTTCCTTTGGAGCACTTTGATGTACCTCCACGGGTCCTGCAGTGGAAGGAGACCCAATCCCTCACCCATACCTTAATCCTGCGTGGTCCGCCTGGGACTGGGAAGACTGAAATGGCTATATCCGTGCTTTTGTCCACATGCCGCGCTGGCATCCACTTTGTCAGCAAGCTTGATCAGATGCATAAGATCACCGTGCACCCAGGTGAGGGACTTGTTGTCGATGAGGCTTGTTTCAGGACAGTGAGCATTGATGATGCGAAAGCTTGGTGCGATGTGACTCACGCACGCGATGTGCACAACCGTTGCTCTGACGGACACATTCCAGCGCAAACGCCAAGGATCTTCACTACAAACCATGAAGTCCCACAGTTTTGGCCCCCAGAGTATTTTCATTCCAGTCATCAGGCTGCAATTGATCGGAGAACTGTTTGGGTTGACTGCCCAAACAAGCTGTTCAAGGACAGGGAAGCAACGTGCAAGGGTAACAACGTAACGTTACGAAGCGCCATACAAGGGAGGTGTATTGCCCCCCAAAAGTGTGTAACGCAGGTGGTCAGCGAGGTTCATTGAATCTCCTTTGAATGGCCCTTCCCAACGTTATGTTTTGGTTGTTGGAAATTCCAAGTTGGAAAGTGTTTTTCTGGAATGCCTGGCCCTTCGCAACTTTACTTTTTTGCTGGAATGGCCCTTCTCAAGGTTGAGTTTTTTGTTACTGAAATTGCTTCCCACACTGTGCGGTGTTACATCTGATGTTTTGTCGCTGAGGCTATATTTCCAACATTATGCACTGTTAAATCTTGTGCTTTGTTCATGTTCCGTTTCCCTCCACAACTGCATTCCCAACTGGCGCTTGATCTTGGGCTGGGTATTCTCGGATTACCTGGCAAGGAGCCACAGGCTGATTCGGACGCCTGTGCATCCCATATGATCTCAGATACACCAGTGGCTGCAGCGGCTGCGATCTTGCGGCCAGATCAGGAGCCACAGGGTGAGTCGTCCGGAGCGGACGCCTTCAAGGCCCATAGGATCTCAGAGACAGCAGCGGCTGCAGCGGAAGATCTCTTGTGGCCGGATGACGATGAACTCAACGAGATGATGGAAGATTCATTTGATTTTTGAATTTCTGAACAGTGTATTCATATGCCAATTGCAGCATCTATCGTCTATCAACAGACGCCGAAGGCGCTACGCGAGAAAAGAATAGTGGTATTGACGTGAGGGCGCAATCGTGGGATGGTGGACCCGTATTTGTGATGTACTACAATCGTAGAAGTAGTTTTACCTGACACCGGTTCAGGGTTTCACCTCCCACAACCCCACTCAAGTCTGGTGGACACAATGTGAGAAAACCATACACTTTGACATTGGGTTTTTTTTTACCCGGGGATATATCTGGGACCCAACCGACACCATCGCGAGGTGTAGAAATTGCGGTTTGTAGATGAGGTTCCTTTGGTGCTTCAAATTTGAGGAGACCACCGATTCTGGTTCAAAGGAAGACAACCGGGCTATCGGATCGTGTTGCTGAGGTGCGGCCATTGCCCCCCATTCATTCCATGAGTCGAGCTGTGCAGTGGAAACAAAGAACGCCGGGGTGGCACACCAAACTGGGACGTTTTAGAGGTAGGAGTTCCACTTCCCTTCATTGGGCCCTAGATGTATATATACACATATGTACACATATACTCGTACATATTAAGTACATGGCCGCCGGCCGCCATACATATAATATACTATATTTACGCATGCACATGTTACGGAGCTTGAACTACCTAAAACATGCGCACATTTCAATCGACAAGAGGCACACCCGACAAATGGCATCTTGATTAGATGACTTGGCACCCTCAAAGTTGAGTATCGGGCTTGTTCCAAAGCTGCGCTGAGTTTGGAGTGTGAACAGCAGCGACTCGGTATTTGATGAGCGCTACATCCATGTCAGAGTGGTCCTTCCGCGAGATGGTTCACAGCAAAGCAAAATACTTTGTGAGAAGGAGCTCCAGCTCCTGGATGATCGATCCAGCTGCTAGAATCGTTTTAGCATTCTTGGGATCATGCGTCGAGGCATTCCCCAAATAATCCTGAAGCCGAGCATAAGCAGCGACAAAGAGAGAAGTGCATGAGATACCTTTCCCTCGCTGGGCACCAAACAAAGGCCTTGAAGTTCTCACCCATCCTTGATTGAGGGGCAAAGATCTTGAATTCACTATACTTGGATGACACTTTAGATTATCAAACATATTAGTACGTACATTTCCCTCTGAAATTGTGACTTGCCCTGAATATCAGCAAGCAAGAACACAAAGGCAAGGGCCGTAAATACAGGATGCCCAAGGTTGTCAGCAACTCGGCATGCTCCGGGGAAAACTCAAGTGCCTGAGTTCAGTTAGACCATAACCTGTGTCATGGCCAAGCGGTCTTCCGCGCCACAACACCATTGCAAGTCTAGCCCCGCTTCAGTGTACACATCGATGGCAGATTTGTGGTCCTCCTGCAAGGCATGCGCCTGCGCCAGTTACAAACCATGTGGACTTTCCAGCATTCAATGACCTGTCACTGTGTCCATAAAGCCTCTGCTCTAGTGGAAATGTATCTCTGCTCAAGACTATAATTTGTTCTTGTAAACTACAAGTATTGAAAACATACACATCATTTGTCCCGCCTTTCCAAGCTGCATGAAGGTGACATCATGTCTCTGAATCTGGTTCGCCTCTACAATTCAGAATGACGCCTTCAACTTGCGAAACTCAAGACTAAACAACATCAGCATCAAACCTTGGTGAAGCACTCGACAGAGTTGTCATATTGCCGAAGGTACATGTAACACAGACCTGCCAAGCGCTAGTGTCCAACCATGATACACCTGTGTATAAATTCACATGACCGTACGCACGTGCACACATACACCCACACACCAAAAAAAACAACCAGGCAAAGCAAAAGCAGACACCAATGAATGTCGCGATTGCAAATTGCACGACCCAGGACTGCCTTTGTTGTGCCAAATCTCCCAGTCATCTGGAGAAATCTTTTGAGCTTCATCATACACCTTTGCAACACTAATTTGTTCTGCAAACATTCTTGGTGGAAGATATGCATTGCTGCAGTCGACTCCACAAGCACTACATGCACAATAGTATAAATAAATGCACAATATATGTAGAGGGGGCCGGTATGGTCTAGTGGTTCGACGCATAAGGCCCCGGTTCAATCCCCGGGTGCAACACTAAGCGGGCCACTACCCCACCCTGGCAGTTGAGGGGATGAGTTAAGGTGTGGACCCCTATATTAAAGCACAACAATATGCATATATATATATATTTATATGGGCGCTGCGTGTTTTCCGGGCCCCAAACACAGTAGTCTGTCAAGAGCTTATGTTTATATAGTTTGTGAGTACATATACTGCATTGTAGTATCTGACTATCGGAAATTACCACATATATATAAGAGTAAGCAGCGCCTGTTTTCTTATTCGCTCTGCAGCAAGTTTGTCAATAATGTAAAGAGTTGGGAACAAAAAAGGGTACTCCCGCAGTCGATTTGATTGCCCCCCCCCCTTCCCTGGTCCACAACACAGGGAAGGGGGCGCTCCCGGACAATCGTCCCCCCCCGACCAGGTGGGCCACACCCCAAACCCTGGCCGGGTCCTGAGGGACACCAGCTTTCTTTTTTTTCACCTCGCTGCTGGTTTTTTTTTAAAGGCTTGGAATTCTTTCTCTTCCTTCCAAGTCCCCCCAGGCCTCGCTTGACCGAGGGCGGCCTGTTGCCTTGCAACGGCTCAAGTGTTTCAAAAGACCTGGGGTTTGAATATATGAAAAACGTTCGGTAAGGTGCCAAAAGCTTCTCCAAAGGTCCTAGTTGCATCTCGGCCAAAATGGCCCGTGACTCGTTCAGGTACAGCCTTGCTGTTTTTTGGGCTTGCCACCTGCCCAAAATCATTACTCTATCCAGGTTTCCATGTTGGCTGAACCACCATGTGGCTCCTCCTCGCCGTAGCGAGTACGGTCTGAGCTCCAATGATTCCAATTGGAGGCTGGAAACACATAATTTAAACAGTTTTCTCCACCTTGGGGGAGACGGACAGAGTTTGTGCGGAGGCGAAGTGAGGTGAGTCCAGTGCTGTACATAGCGAAAAACGGTGTCATGTCCTAAAGAAACGCTTTCCTGGACACCGGCGCGCTTCCCGGCCTTCGTGAGTCCTAACGCTATGACAGCAGTACGAAGTTTTGAGGAGATCTCGACTCGGTTCCGGGCGCCGTAAAACCCCACTAGCAGACTTGTAGCGAAAGCAAAGTGCCCGTGGTACAGTGCCCAGCCTACCATACCTTGCAGAACGACTTCCGGGACGGGCGGCGCCCGATTTGGGAGCTCGTGGGTGACCCACGTCTTAACAAGTCTCCATGCTCCAGGGAGATGTCCCCGAATCTTTGCGTCGTAGTCCTGTAAGGACGCCAGGGTGTCGGCGGCCAGACCACGCCCCTCCCCCGATATCCACAAGTGTTCTATGTATACTCCATGGCCAACGGGTCTAAATGCTCACGACGACGCGGTAGCTCCAGGCCTTCGGCCTTGAGAAAAACGAGAAACTTTGACAATGCCTTCTCATAACGAGCTCTGGTTGACGGTTGGACGGTCAACTGCCTAAGCGTGCCTAATTTCTGCCGATCTTGTGCTCTTCTAGCTTGCGTTGTTCCTTCAACCTATGGCATGACGGAATTTCGTCCGCGCAGCCCACCGCGACGGGCGATCCGCCGGGTTGAGGTCCGCGCTTACATATCCCCATAGGCCACTGACATTATGCGCTAGCAAGAGCGAGTTGATTCGGCATAAGGTCCTCCTCAGGCGTCGGCTCGATGTTCGTCCTCTCGTCATACTGTGAAGGCATACTAAAGAATATTCGACAATCATGGTTTCGGAGATGCTCTAGACGCCACCTGACGCATGCCAGACATGCACGAAGCTCTAAAGAGTTGATGTGCTCCTGACTGCCGACCCATTTCCAGCCTGAAATGACTTTCCACTGCCACATCTTTGGGTTGACTGTGCGTCGCAGGCGTTGATGGCCTTGAATCTCCTCCGGGCTGCTATTCAGCATCAAGTCCGCTCCCTTTGTAGACACCAGCCCCGCCAACTGCTGTACCAGGGTCTTTTCGCTCACGCCGGACGCCGTCTTGTCTATCTTCAGCGGTGGGCGCATCAATCTCGACTGTATGAATGGGTTTCCCTCCAGATTCAAGCGACCAATCACTTCCGCCGGCGTCAGAGCAGGGCCTAAGCCCCGTGGGCCAACCAGTTGGCCCAGCAACCAAGCTACCACCGGGACAGACCACCCGTTTCCAATAAGGCTGAGCCGCTTGTCGTTGTAGTCCGTGCCCTTGCGCTGGTTCTTGCTCATGCACATTTGGGTGTACCCCACCGGTAGACCCATCATGTACTCTCTTTCGGCGATGTTCGGGGTCCTGTATTCCTGCCTCCGATTCACCAAGCAGTGGCGTGGCAAGTATTGGTAGGGTGGGAACCTATGGCAGTCAGCTTCCCATCGACGGACCGTCTCTTCATCACAATTCTGAAGACCTGCAGGCCTGTGCCCGCGTGTACTCCTTGGCCGTGATGTAGTAAAGGTTGGAAATGACTGAAGAGGGTCCACCTTGCTCCAACCTACTTCTACGCTGTCTTCCCAGGGATGGTCCCCGACCAGGATCAAGTCTCGTCCCCGCACTTCAACGTTCTCGTTGCTGGCTTGAAGCTCCCATGTGACCCAGTAGAGCCGTGGTCGATTGCACCAAGTTAGACTTCCGGCATCGCACGACCAGGGGACGTCCCCGAAAGATTTCGACATGATTCACGTGAACGAATAGGCATGATCTCTCGTCCTTCAAGGCGCCTTTGCGCTGGCTGTTCAATCCCGATACTCCCTGACAAGGCGGACCGGCGCCAAGAAGGACCATCTCGACTTGGCCAAAAGTCAACGACCAGCTGATCACGTCCTTCTCTTCCACCTCGGCGATATCAGGGTAATGTACTGTGCCCGGGAAGTGATGCTCAACCACCCGCCTGGCACAAGGGTCTTTCTCAATGGATATGTGCCCCGCAATCTCGCATCCCAACAGGTCCAAGGCCACCCGCAAGCTTCCGATTCCATCGAACATCCCGATGCTCAGGATTCGACCTCCGCGTTGGCTACGCATCTCCAGCGACCTACCCCCGCAAGCGACTTGTTCTCCAAAACGGGTCAAGCTTGTGGCCACGCAAACTCCTCCTCCATGCTGAGAAGCGTCACTGCAAGTCACGAGGGGATTCATCTCGAGTCGGAAGCTCATCCGGCATAATGGAATGAGGCAGAGGAATCTGCGAATCTCCAGCTTGACGTTCCTCGGAATGGGCAGCCTATGTCGACCTCGCTCATTGAAGGACTCGATGAAGTTCCAACAGAGGTTCAAACCTCCGAGAAGCTGGCGTCGGAAGGTGGAGAAATACACCAATCCTCCACACACCACTTGCATTTGCCGCTGTGTTGCATGCGTCTCCTGCGTGAGCTGGTGAGCAATCGTGACATACTTTGACAGTTTCTGGCCCTTAGGGTATGCTAATCCCCGTTGACCATCGACTACTGCGCCCTGGACTTCTGCCTTCACCTGCCTGCCAACTCCTTTCGTAGGATGACGTGGGAGTCCCCACTCAAGGTATTCTGTTCGCAACGCTTCTATCTCAGGGGCTGTGGTCCCCGACTCTTCCAAAAGAGCTTCACGAGGGTACTTTTCCAGAAGGTCGTAGTTGTCCAAGTAAACTCGCCAACTACTGGCTCCCGCCGGAAGTGTTCTGTCTTTGCGGATTTCACAGCGTTCCGTGTCTCGGGCATGGTTGTGTTGTTGCGAACGCAGCACCAGCGTGCGGTGAACGTGCTGCGCTATCCCCACACTATTGAGGAAACCCATAGGTAAGACTTTGGAGCAAGGATAGCAGATCTCCCCTTGATACGCAGCAGGGACCAATCGAGCAGGCAGGGGCTTGTTAAAGCAAAGGAAGGGGAACCAGCAAGGGGGCAGAGCCAGGGTGTAAAAGAAACGCCGCAAGTCCTCACTCGAAACCACAAGGTTCTCATGCGCCTCAGTATGGAAAGGTGTCACGCCAAACCAATGAGGGAGTGTTGGTATATCTCCGGCTAATCCTTGGCAAAGGTCATTGAGCGGCATGAGGTTCATGATAAGGCGGTATATCGGGATTCCGTTCGTCTCTTCGTTCTTCTCCACTCCGAATAGCCCGTTGAGCAATAACCGCCCGCCCACTCTAAAGACCTCTGACTCAGGGACAACACCAAAAATCCCCGCCCATCGGCCACCTCAAACCAGTCATCCTCCTTGACCATCACCCGAGACTTCCTAAGGGGCCCCCATTCATGTGGTGCCTTGAGGTAGGATGGAAAATTTTCGATGTAGTGCTTGCACCCTTGTTCACAAATGTCAACCAGATTTGCCACCCCTATCTCCTTTGGCAAAGCGGGCGCAATGTTTTTCCAACAAAAACCCAAGGCAATCTTCACTTCGTCCCCCTTGTGGTCAATTCCGCGGGTCCTGAAAAAATCTCCCCAATCGAACGTTTCCGTCACCTCTTCAACCTCCTTCAGCCTAGTCACGTCCTCCATCAGCCCACGCAGGATCCGAGCCTGCATCTTCGTAGCTGAACGACGTTGATCTCCACTCGGTTGTTCCTGAAGCGTTTGGTCTGGGCACCCCCAAAACGAATTCAATGCCATGCACATGCACCTCAACCATTCAACTGTCCAAGCATGATCTTCAGGTATGACTTGCAAAATCAGTTCACGATCGGTGGGGAGGGGAAATGTGGATGTTTGCTTGACATGCACCTCCTCTCGACTCCCCCTTCCCGTGGACTGGCTGCAGAGCGATGAAACCGACCGTAAACTCTCGCCCAAAATACCACCCATCTCAAATAACTGCATACCGCGCACTCCTTTACCATCACGGTCCGCGGGGATGGACCCCGGGCGCATATAGGGCATCATCCGCCCAGCCACCACGTTGATCGGTGCCGAGCTGTCCGATATCCCTGAGGGAAAATTGATCGGAGCTACAGGTGGGAAAGAGACATCCACCGCTCCACCAGCCAGGGCACCCGACCCCGTTTCAGCTGCTGTGCTGTTCGTAGTGCTTCCGTGTGGCCTCCCAGGCCGCGCGTCGGCAGGCGTCAGCTCCTTGAAAGTAGCGCCGCCCGCCATCATAGATCCATCATACTCACAAACAGGGTCTCCGCCCCGCCTCTCTGCACTCCTCTCAGGGCACTCCATCCCCGATTCAACTGTACTGTTGCTGTACTGCTTTGCACTGGATGCCACAGGGATCAAAGGCCCCGCGCTGCCAGCGTCAAGGCCTGCCGGGCCGCCGGGCCCTCACACATCACCTCAACCTCTGTCACTCCTTCCTTGGCTTCTCCTTCCCCTTTTTTCCTTTTCCTTTTCCTTTGTCTGTCTTCTCGGACTTTCCACTCTCCTTGCCTGCTCCTTTGCTCCACCATGCACCGCTCTGGTGCGCCTGCGCCTCCGCCTTTTGCTCTGTTGTTGCTATCTTCAACTCCTGCCTCGAGGATAGCGTAGCCGTGTCGCTCGGCAGGCCGATCTGGGCTTCTAGCGACTTCACCCTCTGAGTAAGGGTGTCCATGGCCTCCGGAAGCTGGCCGCGCAATACCAAATCGCCCACCGTGCGCAGTGTATGAAGCTCTCTGTTCATCGGGCCAGAGACTCTCCTGCTCAGCATTTGGCGGTAATATTTCAGGAATGTAGGGACCCACGAGTCCTGCTGAGCTGATTCTTGCCCTGCCTCGGCCAACATCAACTCTTGCATGTTCTCGATCGTCTGGGCTGATAGAACACCTGGAAAGTTCATAGCCACTGCACGAACCCGCTGAGGCTCGCCAAAAATGGCCTGCCCCTTCAAGAAAATCCCCTCGTTGCTCGAGTCGCTCTTGCTGTCTCCTCCACGACCGTGAGAGCGCTGTGCGTACCTCTGTGCTTTTCTCCTCTGCCACCTTCTGGCCTTCTTCAGGGGATCGAGACCACTCCCCCCGAACATAACCTTCTGCTGTACGGCCTTGTGCCTCACCCCTGAACTCGTGCTCGATGATGCACTGCTGGACGAACTCCTTGCACGTTTCTTCTTCTTCTTTTCCTTTTTCTTTTTCTTCTTTTCTTTTTCTGGCTCCTTCTGAGCCTCTTTTTCGTCCTTCTCTCCTGCTCCTGGATCGGCCACGGCGGGGGTTGCTATCTTGTCCATGCGACCTCGAAGTCCTGCCAACTCGTCCTCCTCCTGACGACCGGCGCTCAGCAAAACGTCTCTCCAGGGCAGGTCTCGTATCTCCTCCAGAGACCGCAGGCCCCGATGTTTTGCACAATGGAGTAGACGTGGCCCCACCGATTCCTGTCCGCATTCTGCTGGGCAAATGTGCGCGCTCGCCCATGTAAGCAGGTTCTCGGCGTTCGTGCCATAGAGCCGCACGTTGTAGTAGCCTCCCGACAGGTCTTTCCATATCTCCACCACCTTTCCGGTGATCTGGCAGGGAGTTCCGTAGTAGCTGCAATCCTCCCCGTGAATGATGTCGCCAACCTTCAACTCCTCTTCCAGGGCAGGGATGTCCCCCGATCCCCGTCCCCTGCTATGGCGGGTCTCCTCAACACGCCGGCTCGCCGGGGTAGAGCTGGAGGCCTTCTGGCTACTTTCGGTGCCATCTCTTTCCTTTACCTTTTCCCTGGCCCTTTCTTCCCTGGGAGCCAGAGTTGTAGTACAACTGACCTCGAATGACGTGCTTGATGCCCTTCCACTTCTTGGGTGGTTGACCTTGGCGGTCGTGGTACCCGGGTGGAGAGTACGAAGGTGACCGGGGCCTTCGCGGCAATGGCTTGCGGGCAGATGGCTTTGCGGTCCTCTTGAGCTCAAGCTTCTTCGTCGTCTTCCTCTTCTTGTTGGGTATATACTTCTTCTTCCTCTGGAAGCTCCTCTTGCTCCTCAACCCTGGTTGATGGCCTGGGCTTCTCTTTGTGCTTCTCCTCAACCTCGCTCTCTTCAGGGGGTGGTGTCCCCGTTCTCTCCTTTGCTTCTCTTCTCTTTGAACGATGCCTTGATCGTGACCTCCGGGTCGAACTCTTCGATCTTCTGCGCCTCCTTGACCTTTCCCTCTTCGTTCCTTTCTTTTCCTGCGCGTCCACCAGGGGCTCCTTCCCCGATTCTCCTGCTTTACGATGACACTGTCCGATGAAGTCCTCCTCGTCGATGAAGCTTCTTTGTCTTTCTCGCCTCGATGAATGCCCTGTTCAAAAGTGTCCTTCTTGGCCCAACTTGCAAGGATCCTCTCGCGAGCTCCGGGGATGGGTTCCCCGTCCTCTGTGACAAAGCCGGCAGTGCGGTCCGCCTCGAACTTTTCACAAGTCCTCTCCAAATTCGCGGTCACGGTTTTGAGGAACTCCACCAGGTCACCAGATGTATGAGGTGGGCACCTGGTAAAAACCAACCTCTCTATGCGGACCACGAGCCAGCAGGGATCGCAGTACCCCGAGCTGCCGACCGGCTTTCGCAAACCTGGAGTTACACCCGTTACAGGTGCTCATCCAGGACACTGAAGCCGAAACACTACGGAATAAGGAATCACAGGTCTGTTACTCTTTACCCCCGGGGGCGGGAATCCATATATGTTTGTTATCTTTATTTATATGTGTCTAGGCAATTCCAGGTATCTAACTACTTCATTGTTTTGCAGTGCAAACTTACTAAATATAATTGCACCCTACATCTTGAAAATTGAAATGATTTTTTTGGTGCCTGAAGGAATCTCGAACCATTTTAATTTGAGCGCCCCACTCCTTTGACTATGAATTACTAACAAGTGTATCCAACACAAGACATGTTTATAAACACAAAACTGTTCATAAACACAGGCATGGTTGTTGTAAAATGCAGACGCCAACTTTGATTACATATGCCGCGTCCAGTTGCTGCAAGATGATTTACAAAAATTGATGTGAGTTGCTAGAAGCAAATGCAGAGGACAAATCATAATGGCTGTATACAAGTAATATCTGTACTTCACAACATGATATACAGTTATATACATGGGCTCAGTGTGGCTCAGTGTTTTCTACTTATAGTTTTATTGGGGCCCGGAAAACGCACCGAACCTATATATATATATAAAGTCTCTCCACTCAAAATGCCATGGTTCCCGAAACAAAAGCATACAACAACATCGATTCGATTATATACTGTCCAAATAATAAAGAAAAACTTCAGTCCGCGCCTCTATGGCTCCACGATGCTTTCCCAGCAAATAAAGGCTTCTTCCCATCTGAGCATTCACAAGGTGCTACAGTTGCTTGAAGAAACACATGTTTGCTATGCACAAAAACGGCCTGTTTGAGATTGTAGACGTTCAAAGGGCTTATGCAAGTAGCTGCTTGGAAAAGCTGCAGGGATTCTTGCACCTGCCCGCATGGGAACATCGTGAATTGGGAAGTGCTCCTGTTAAAACTTATAGATTGCTTCGAAATTGTTATTCGCAGTTATAAGTTATGTTACATTCCGCGCGCATCTTTTCAACCTACGGCCTCGGTGTGAGCCAACACGGATGTTTGTACACATCTCACAACTCATATCTTGCGAGTGCTCCGGAGACATCACCAATTTAATCACGCGACTAGTCATAATCGATGACAACACCCATACATCGAGGACAATGTTGTGAAGTCGAAGAAGATCTTCTGAAGCCGAGGACAATATTCTCATACATGGGTTTAAATGGAACTTGGAGTCAAAAAAGGGTTGACTCCAAATTTAAGCCTTCTGAAGCCCTGTCCTAGAATCGTTTTGTCTAGTGGTTGGACATCGAGATTGAAGCTCGGTGGCGGGGCTGCCTCACATGTCCACAACTGTCAGATCAGCTTCCATCATCCCCACCCCTAGTGAGGGAACCTCGGAAAATGTCAGCTTCACTTAACCAGGTCCTTTCAATTCAAAGCGTACGCGGAATTTACGTTGGTATAACAGGCAGGTCAGTCTCCATTCGGATCCCCTGGTCTCAGCTTCGCCCGACTCTACCGCCAGAGGAAAAAAGGAGAAAAGGGCAGAAGTTGGAGAGGCCGCTGTGGCGCTGCAAGCGGGCTGCTGTGGCGCTGTCATCGCTGCGGGGTTGGTCTCGCAGAAGGGGGCATCACGGGGTCTCGCAGAAGGAGGTCTCGCAGAAGGAAGTTTCGCAGAAAGTCCACCCTCCCGAGCCCCCAGAAGTGAAGTTGGCGGCGCGCCACTCCGACTGCACCTGCTGAGCCACGCATCTTGCGCAAGGCGACCCGCAGGGGTCCCGCAAACGGGTCTCGCAGCACAGTCTCGCAGAAGGATCTCGCAGAAGGGTCTCGCAAAAAGGACGCTGCAAAAGGGTCTGGTTAGAGCCGGATTCGGGACTAATCGGTCGGATTCTGAAACTAGGGTTCTGAAACTGGGGTTCTGAAAACTAGGGTTCTGAAACTTGGATTCTGAAACTGGTATTCTGAAACTGATGTTCTGAAACTAGGATTCTGAAACTGGTTCTGAAATTAGGATTCTGAAACTGGGATTCTGAAACTGGAAAGTCAGATTCTGCAACTGGCATTCTGAAACTGGTATTCTGCAACTGGTGATCTCCACATCATGCGATAGCGTGTGCCTGTGACTTCATCTTCGAAGCACATCCAAACCAACGTCATTAGCCCCCCACCCAACCCCCCCCTTGTCCCCATCGTGTGATCTCGACATCACGCCAACGCCCTCATCATTCACAAAAGTTGCGGAGTCCTAGCGAGGGAATCCACAATTTTGCGGAATCCTAGTTGCGGAACGCCAGTAGCAGAATCCCAGTTGCAGAATCTTAGTTGCGGACTCCTGACAGTTGCGGAATCCTAGTTTCGGAATTCTAGTTGCGGAATTCTAGTTGCGGAAGCCTAGTTGCGGAATCCCAGTTGCGGAATCCTAGTTTCGGAATCCTAGTTGCGGAACCCCAGTTGCGGAATCCGACGCAATAGTTGCGGAATCCTAGTTGCGGAATCCTGCGCAGTTGCGGAACTCGACTTTATCCAAGGGTCTCGTCTCGCATAGGGGCTTGGCAGAAAGGTCTCGCAGAAGGCCCTCGTAGCTTCTTGTGGCATTCTTGCTATTTCTCACAGCTTTCGGCAGCTTCGCCGCTCTGGTCGCTTTCTTGCAGATTCGCAGCGTCTCACAGCTTCGCACTGCTCCGCTCGTCGTATATTCTTGACCTTCCCTCCCAGCGCATCTGCGTTGGCCACCGCTCCTCTGGGGCCCCAGTGGCGTGAATCCAAAAACCCCTGCACATCCTTGCAAGTTCACACAGAACGGTGACCTCTGACACCAAGGTTTCCACACACACACACACACGTAGCTCACATCCACTTACTTGTGGGCACAAATAATAACTGAAGCACACTGGGCCCAATTTGCAAGAACGAAGCTCATGTTTGAACAAACATGAACAAACTATGACGCTTGTTAGACAAGAATGCATTGATTGCGAAACTCTTCCGCTGACCTGCCTGCCCCTCTTGCCTCTTAATGAGCGCCTTGACATATATGGCATACTCGCACCTTGGCCCAAACCAATCAATTCCAAGGCGGACGCTTGAGCATTCCGCATCCTGCAAGCCAGGAACATTCCATTTGAATCGCGAAGTTGCTCCTCAATCACCTCCATACATTCTTTGAATTCCTCAAAGGTCAGCAAAAAAGCTTCAGAGCACGAACAAAGTTCAAGAGCTTGAAGGACTTCAAACTTCCACTCTACCCGCCCTGGTACTTATCTAGATTTACAGGCCCAATAAACTTCAATCGTTCATTCATTTTCTTTTTAAAATAGCATCGCAATTTTAGGCGGCCTTGAGAGCTTCTTGGCGGTTGAATCTTTCGTTTTCTGACACTGTCGGGCCAGAGGCTGGCTATGTTGTGTGACACATAGATGTATATAAGTAAAGACTCTTAGCTCCTGCTCGCGAAATCATTGAATCGTCAAGCGAAGCTGCTTACTCGTCTAGCTTTCTTCTTGATAGATCCGCTGGCAGTCCGAATATTTGCTGGAGCGTGCAGTGAACAAGGCAGAGAACCCAGAACCTACAATTGTTTGACAGACCGCTGTGTTACAGCGCTTGTGTATGATAGCTCCGCCACATGGTGACACTTTGAGGACATGTATACAGTTGCGGAACATCAGTTAAAGTATATATATATATATGGAAAACGTGTAAATGGGTTTAGAATACGAAAGATTTAGAAATAGAATACGGAACAAGTTGTGAAAACGGGGCGCAAATAGAAGATACATGTCTGAGAAAACATTGAGGAAGTATGTCGTTATGATTGTTGCTGTTGCAGTTGTTCTGGATGATTTGGATCGAGAAATGCTTGCTTGCTGGCTGGTGTGTTTACTGTATGTATTATGTTTTGTTACCGTGCTGCGCAGTCAGGCTTTGTACTGTATGTATATTGGTTGTGGTTCTTGCGACGTGATCCACGCCGCAGATAGAAACGGCGAAAACGCGCCGCAAAACAAGAGCCGCCGCGCTTCATCTCCAGTCTCTTCTTATTCTTCTTGCTCCCTTTGGAGGATCTGCGCTTCCCGAGCAGTTCTCGCTCCAGGGCCGTCACCCAACGCCAACCCCAAATCTCAGAGCCATGGCCATGAATCCCGCCAAAGTGAATGAAATCAGGGACAATAAGACAATAAGTGTGAATGATCTCTTCAGTTTGGTTTGTCTTGTAGTTGTGGAAGTACGGACAGTTGGAAATATATTCTAACTGCAGTCTCTCCATCTGCGTCTACATAGCCAGTAAATATACAATACGGCAGGTTTCAACCTTAAATAAGCAACATATTTAAAGAGATAAGCCAATAAATGCTAATGACCTCTTCATTTTGGACCGTTGGAAATATGTTTGCGCTGCAGTCTCTCCATCTGCTCTGACAAAGTCAGTTAACAACAAAGCAGGTTTCAACCTCTAGTAAACAACATACTCAAAGAGATGTGGTGTGTGTGTGTTCCGCTTGGTTTGTATTGGAGTTATGGAAGTACGGACAATTCAAAAAATATTCCAACTGCAGTCTCTCCATCTGCATTTACATAGCGAAGAAGCTTACAATACAACAGGTTTCAACCTCTGCATATTCGAAGAGGTAAGATGAAGAGGTCATTCACATTTGTTGACACATCAAATATCTTGAAAGATATGTTGCTGATTATATCGAGGTTGAGTCTACCGTATTGAATATGAATTGGCTATGTCAAAGCAAATGGAAAGACCGCAGTTAGTACTTCCACAACTCCAATACAAACCAACATGAAGAGATCATCCACACTTATTGACACACATCATGGTTGTGGAAGTGCGGACCGTTGGACATATATTCTAACTGCACAGCTACTACAATACAAGCCAAGCTGAATAAATCATTCACATTTATTGACACACGTGATATTTTGAAAATATGTTGTTGCTTATGCAATTTATGCGAGGTTGAAACCGACTGTATTGTATATCGATTGGCTATGAAAATGCAGACGGAGAGACTAGAAGTATGGACCGTTGGACATATATTATAACTGCAGTCTCTCTACTTGCTTTGACATAGCCACTTCATACGAGTTAGCGTCAAGAATATATGCTCGGAGTGTTTTCGTTTCACTTTTGTCAGTCCCCTATCGTTTTCCATGGTTTTGGATTTTGCAAGTATGTATACATAGGGGTATCGTTTTTTGTCAGTCCCCTATCGTTTTTCAAGGAAAATCACGAAAGCAACACAGAGATGGAACGTCCCTTACTAAAGTGGTTGATGATAATTTTGAGGTTCCCTCATATACAATACGGTAGGTTCAACCTCTATATATTCTGCAACATATTTTTCAAGACATGATGTGTTTGCATGCTTATGCAAATAATCCGCGGTCAAGTCAATAATGCAAGATATTCATAGATATTCAATATCAGCTAACAAGTCTGTGATGCACAGCGTCCCCTTGAGGCTCCTTATTCCAAACACTTTTTAGTCTCATGGACTTGATGCTACGCTTTGGATGGGGTGGGTATCGGGATGGGGTGGGGTGATGTTAACGTTGGTATGAAGTTGCATACGGTCTTGATGCTACGCTTTGGATGAATCATGTGTGAAACGTGTAGTGTCATGTCTCCGCTCAGGCGGGAATGCTCAGCCGGGAATGGGTCTTGGTGACATTTGCCGACCGGTGTGTTATGGCCTTATTTTTGTGTTTGGCCCGCAAAGTTCCAAAACTATAAACCCAAGAGACCTGCAAAACGCGTGTGCGCACAAAGCTGGTGCATTTGCGGCTTGTCGCCCTTGGAGATTCCATTTCACCAGTCTCGTCTCTGGTAAATAATGGGATAAAACAAGACATGATCCAAGCTGTGAGAAAAGCACACATTGTAAAACTGGGACGTTTCAAGAAGTGTACATGTCCGAACTTTGCAAATCGCACAGGGTAACTATTGGCGCCTTGTTTATTCTTGTGGTTCTGGTTGTTTTCGAAGTGCATTTGCGCACAGCGTCTCCGATCGGGGTCTGAATTTAAATACTCAAATTTGTTTAAATCTATATTCTAACTGTGTTTCCCTTATAGTAAAAACTTCTACAAACTGCATCTGAAACATGTCAGGAAAATCATGGGAAATCTCTTCATTTGATATTGTCCATTGTATGTTCTACTCCCAGCGGACAATTTTCGCTCACCAATCCCAAAATCCGCGGCAGCGATGCCTGCCGCACGTAGAGCAAATTTATGAGCCAGTTCTTTTTCTCTCTGCCAGCCTACACTCAGTACGCGCAAGGGACTTTCCCACTTTACAGTTTACATGTCTCTTTCCTTCACTTCCTCACAAAGTTGTTCAATTTATCACATGCCTTCACACATTCCCCAAGCAAAGTAACGCCGCAACCAATACCCGTCAACAAACAACATTGCTTTGTCGTTGCCCTCTCGCTGCACAAAGAAGGAGGAATGCCTTCATTGTCGGGGCATTGGCTGAAGCCATTGCTGAGGCTGCACAAAGCTTTGTACTCCCTTTTGCTAAATTATGCGCCGCCCTGTGTATGTGCATTGCAAGCAAACAGGGACGGTAGCAGCAGCACTGTGGTTCTTGCCTGTTTTTGTGGATTGCTATTGGATCTGTATGATATGTCCAGCTGGCCATCTGCCCCCACAGCGGACAGCGAAAATGTTGCCGTGCCGTCCATCTCCCGATTAATGATACCCCGTAAAAGCTACTTATGTCTGGCCCTCTGGTGGTGATATAGCTATCTGGCTAAATGCCTAAAAGTTTGAACTGGATTTAGCTAATTGTCTAAATGTCCTATCATGAATTGACAGCTTGAGCGCAATGTCACCATGGCACATGCGGCAAATGCGAGTGCGAATGGTGAACCGTGCTTCAAACATCTCGCCCTTGTCCATTTCTGTGATTTCGCTCTCCGACGCCACTCCGCAACGCTGCATCTTTTTGTTCAGCCATCTGGATCAGCAGCAGCGTCACACAAGTGCAGCCTTGAACTCCTGCAAACGAATGCGATCACGTGGAATGAAATGTAATCAATGAAGCTGTGAATATGATCTCTATACTATACCAGACTATACTGGAAAGTCATGTTAAATCATTGATACTATGCTCGCAAAACATGAATGTTAGAGTCACTGCATCTTTTAGCTAACGCTAATAACCGCTAATGGGCCGGGATGGTCCGGGTTATCAACAGGCAGCCTGGCACTTGACCCGCTTGCACGCCGCTCTGCTGTAGGTCCGCTTTGTCGTGACGCCCTGAAAACAATGCTTTTGAAGGAACACAAAACTCCTGGGAAAAGCAACATGTGGAGTGAAACCGGGTATAAGAACAAATACTGAGTCAGCATATTATACGTATATAAATGCATTCTTATGCATTCTTTAATAGCCTTACAACAATTGCTCTCCCAAGCTCTAGCATTCTTCGCCTTGCAAAAGGGCTGAGTCAAGATCAAGACTCGTTGACCTTTTCTGGCTCTACGAGTCTCAACCAGTTGTAATAAACGGACTCTTGTAAGTTGCAATTCAACATCGTCAGGAAAGATTGCTTTGAGCTCCTTCTCATCTCTGAGCTCAGGGATCCCAATCGCTGACTGCTCTGGTTGCTTTGCACCACTGTGTCGGCTTTGTCCTGTCGGTTTCAACACGTGGCCTGAGATCTGGGAATCCATAGGCTGTTCTACCCGTGCCTTTTTGACGCACAAACCTTCCGAACTTCCCGATTCCATATACTGAAAACATACAAAACAAAACCAGCTTTCAAACTCTCCTGGGTTCCCAGTGATGTCTTTGATGCTTTGGAAGTGACCTTCCTTCCGGTTAGTTCTGTAGCATCGATTTCCCATGCTTCTGCTCTCCCAGCCCTCACAGGCAACTTCCCTTTAAGGCCTTTGCTGGCTCTGCCTTCACTAGACTTTATAGAGCAGCTTTTGGCCTTCGCCGTTGCAGTCAGGACAGGAGCCTGTACCTTCTTTACCCGTGGGGATTCCACAGAGCGCGCTGCGGCCTTCTGTGCAATTTGCATTCTTCTTCTGCCAGCTTCTGCCATGGAAGCACCTTTCAGCTTCTGGGATGGCATTCGTGGCCAATCACTCAAATCAATTTCCCATGCATGACTCGGGCTGGCCGAGGTCTGGTGAAATGCTTGATCATTTCTCTTGCCCCTATGAACCTCGCGATGAGACTGCTCCACAACGCTACTCCGGGTAATGCTTAGCTCATGCAACTGCTCATGCAACTCCATTCCTTCGCTGACTTCAGATTCTTCTCCTTCTGTGGACATTCCTTCCACTTCTTCCCCACCGTACTGGGTTGACGTAACTGGTCCGGCATGCCCTGTGCTTGTGACATTGTCTTCGTCTTCGTCGAGCGACATTGCATCGTCTCCTGCTTGCCAATACTCACCACTTTCAACTGTAAAGGGCTCTCCGCGGACAAGGGCAGCAGCACGTGCGACTGCTTCGGCATCTTCTCCACCCCAGCCTGGGCGGAGTGCAGCTTTGCGAGTGGGGATGGAACACCTTTCTGCCCCGTGAGTAGATTCCAAACAGGCAGTCCTTGCTGCGGTCCTTGCAGCATTTCTCATCTCTTGCAAAGCTGACCCTTTTACCGGTGGAACTCCAACATTCCCACCACCTTGCACTTGGGGTTTGCTGGCCCCTTCCCCCGCTTGTTCTTCCTCAATATCGCTCTGACAAAACTTGACGCTTCTGTCTGCAGGTGTGCCCAAGGGACTGCCACTTGGGTCCATTGGTTGGCTTGCATCCGATTTGAGATCTTGTGGATCATTCTTAGGCTCTTCAATGTTTGTGCCTTCGTCTTCTTGGGCGCTTTGCTGCTCTTCATGCTTCCTACCCAGCGAGGAGCCAATGTCGTCGTTGTGCTCCAGTGAATCAACTACAGCTGCCAAGGCTTCACTTTTGGCATCCAACATATGCTGCTGTTGGGCCTGAGGCGGCTTGGGCTTGAGAGGGACCTGATTTTTCGGCCGCCTCTTGACCTTCATAGCATCAAGTGCTTCTTGCTCCCTGGCAGCAAGGGATTCGGTCATATCGCGCATGGCAAGCTTCAATGTCTCAGAGCTTTGAGCCATCATGGCAGCCGCTGTGTCCTTTGCTGCCTGCGTGCTTTGGCTCACAATGGCAGCAGTGGCTTCTTGCGTCTCCTTGGCAGCTTGAGCAGCGGCACCCATGACAGCATTCAATGAAGCTTCTTGCTTCTCCAAAATCTGTAGCCTCGCAACCAAGCTTTCCTCTAACGCCTGCAACTTGCTGTGGCGCTGCATCATTTCTTGGGTTTCTTTGCTTTTTCCTTTGCTTTCTTCATCTGAGCCCGAACCTCCCTTTAGGAAATGCTGCAGCTGTTGCATTTGTTGCATCTGCAACATCTGCTGAGTTTGCTGTAGTTGCAATGCCAAGTTTTGCTGGACCGGGTCCACAGCAGGAGCTGGCATGGGCATGGGCATTGGAATCGGCGGTGCCACGGGTGCTATGAATGGAGCCTGCACGGGTGGTTGCAAAGATGCGGATGGCATTTGAACGCATGGGGCTGGTATCTGAACTGCTTCCGCCTGGTAGTGTGTCCTGGCAGCTTCGTGAGGCATCAAATTGGCTTGCTGAACGGGCATGCTTGACTGTGCTTGAGCCGGAGCTGGAGGAGCTGGAGTCGCTTGCACAACTTGCTGAATTTCAGCCTGTCTGGTTTGCAACGCTCGTCTGTCCTCTGAAACCTCGGCCTGCCGTGAGCTGAGTTCTGCCCTGCGACGCCTGAGCTGTGCCTCAGCTGCAGCGATGTCCGCGCTTCGATGTTGAATGTCCTGCTCCGCTTCGAAGACTTCTTTCTCAAGTATACTCAACTCCTCTTGCATTTTGGCCAACTCTTCTTCTTTTTTACGCAACATGGGCTCACTGTGAGACAAATCTTCTCGTCGCTGCTGCACCCGTTTCGCTTCTACCTTCAAGGCATTCTCACACCTCTTCAGGTGTTGCGCATCTGAGTCTAGCTGCGCTTCTCGACAAAGAAGCTGCTCTTCATCTGCCACAACTTCCTGTTCCTGCTGCATTACCCTTTTCTGGAACACAGACAGCTCAGCTTGGCGAGTTTCTATTTGCTGTCGTTTTGAAGCGGTTGTTGCTTTGCGCCACTCTAAATCCTTTTCAGCAGCTTCGAAACTTTCTTGAACAAACGTGATATCATCAAGTGTCTCGTTGATCAAAGCCTCTTTTGCCTGTAGTTGCCAATCGTGGAAAACAACATCCTCCATTTTGGCCAGGGATGGCCTTGGAGGCCAACTATCGACTCTTTCAAATTCGGTTGTGGGCATCACTGAAACATGGACGCCTTCCAGATTGCCCACCCTCTCCACCCCCTCCGTGTGCGATGTTTGATTCTGTCTCCCTTCACTACTTGGAGATTGTTTTTTCCTGTCCTTGTCCTTCTCTCTGACTCCTTGCCAAATTGTACTGCATGGGCGAAACCTTTCGCAGTCCTGGCCTGCACACCTTTCTGAAGTCAAGGCAGGTGGCGGTTTTGGTGGTGGAACGTCCAACGTCAAGGGTTCTAAATCCTCTTGGAAAGGGTTGCTCTGAGAACTCGTGAATTGAGATTGACCTGAAGCAGTAGCAACATTGAAACTGACTCCTGGAGGAGCTTCCGGAGGGGGTGGCAACTCCCAGGGGAGTTCCAGTGCTGGCAACGTTAAATCAACCATCCATGTCGAGATCCATGGCTTTGGCTCTCTCGGCTCTTAAAACACATGAAACTAAAGGTGTTTGGGATCCAGTGATACTGATACTCCATTATTCAATCCCAACACCAATTACTGTATTTCCTTCAAAGTCCTCATAACTATTGAACACTTGAACAACAAAAAACATAACATAGATGGACATACATACACCGTACACCTCAACAGTGAGGAAAGGTTTGTTGTTGGATGAAATGGGTGGGAATTCCTGGTTATATAACCCGAACCCTGAAACCACCAACACATCAACAGGACACACCATGCCATGATTCCCGCGAATGTTTGCGTTGATTAAACTTGTTACCCGCATGTAAACATGTCTTTCTCTCTCTTTATATATATGTATATATTATACACAATATCATATATTGACAGCAGTATAGCATACAAGTTTATACATGTTTGTGTATATCTTTGACTCAGAAGCCACATCCAGTAACACCGAGTTACAAATCATCCATGTGTGCAAATCCTTCTATGTAGTGTGCGCCACCCTTGTTTTCTTACTCTCACCCTGAACCATACCTGCTTGCAAAGACATTGTGCAACATGAATAATACTGAAGACATGCGTCCCCGCGAATTCTGGCAGACAAGGTACATATACATGCGGACACACTTCACTAGGTCCGAGCAGTGTGTGCAAACTGAATGTCTCTCTCGTAAAGGTAAGAATGCCCGATGAAGCACAGCAGTGTTTTCCATGAAATAAGACACACTAGTATCAAACTTTCACAACACCAAGGCCACGCGCTCGCGCCACAATTGTATTGTATCGTAACTTTTGCACTTTACATAATTGTTCCTCGTTTTCTTACACTGTGCCAGGTCATGCCAAAATACACATTTCTTATATAAGAACTCGTAACGCCTCAACACGAGGAAGTGAGCCAGCTAGTTCAGTTTTTCGTCCGATCAAGGAGGTGAGATTGCCTGCAATCGAATTAGCGGCAACTGGCTATCTCACGAGGCTCTTGGAATCTCTTAGTTACTATATACCATATACAGGAAGTAGGGAAGTAGCCATCTTCTCATATCTCAGCAAGAGTCTCCTGAACGTATTTGGCACCCTTGAGGCTCCAAATACATTTGCAGCTCCTGAATGTCCCTTTGGGTATCGGCAGGCCAGACCAAGATCTTCTTGATCAGCTGCACAAAGCTCACGCAGCGATTTGAAGAAGGGACACACTTAACTTTAGAATGCCCATTTCAAACAGTTCAAACTCCAAAATCTTGAGCATGCATGAGCAACCCGTGCTGTGCAGAAAACCTGTGATACCATCATTGGCTCTAGTGAGCAAAGAGTGCCTCCCCTCACAAACTGACCGTCAACTTGTCCCCAGCATGATCATCCAAAGCTCTGATCTCCATGACAGAGAAAAGCCTTCGAGAAAAACTGTATTGAATAGTTATTCTTAACGTTTTTTTCATTGTACACATGTCTCGCTTTAAACATCACATAAACCACACATCACAAACCTCTCAAACGGCTGGGTGTCATTCGCAAACTGCTGCAGAATAGCAGCGTTTGCCTGTCATGGATGTTGGTGAAAGAACCAAATGCAGTTTTAAAGGCAAAACAATTTGTGACATTCCATGACACTATGTTTTTCTGAGTTTGTCTCGATGAAGGGTGTGACTCATTACTTGGGAATGTTCAGGCCTGCGCTTGCTTCTCCTGAACGAGCATCAACTGCTTGATTGTAGCCTGTCCATGCAACAAATACGATCTACCCCCTGCAGGTGATTCGTGCATGCTCCGGGGCCTCGTTTTGGAGTTGCACCCGGGCAGCCTGTCCCCGCGCACCCTTCAGCAGCTCTTCTACCTGCGCACGTCTGCCCCAACCACACAGCTTGAAGCTTGAACTTTTGTCAGTTGAAACTTGTGAGGGCATGTATTGCAACCAATGGAACCAGTTCCAACTGCGTGTGCCACACTTAGAAAGAGCTCGGAAGAGCACAGTTCAGGATGGTACCAAGAGTGCATTAACCCTTGAGGATCTAGTTGGTGCAGGAACCACCTGTCAAACTGTAAGGGGCCTGAGCAGAACCGCAAGGTGTAGAGTTTGAAAGGATATGGTTTGAAATGAATTGAATTCACGCCACAACTGACAAGAGTTACAGTAAGATAGCAGTCGAGACAGCGTCCTCTCTTGATATTATAGTCTGAACCTGGAGCTTCGTTGGCTCACACCAGGGACAGACCCGTGAGCCCCCTGCCTGAAATCTCAATGGCATACGGCATACGTGCTTCGAATTAAAGTCACACGTGAAAAGGAAAGAACACGATTTTAACGCAAAAGGCCCCTGCAGTGACACACACACACACACAGCCGTATCGCGCTCCATGGAGCTCCCAAAGAATGAAGTGCAGTAAGGAAAAGAGATCAACAGGCATGGGAAGGAAGAAAGAGGACATGCAACCAATAGCCTAGAAAGGAACACAAGGCATGTTGGGTGGAGGGAATCTCATGTGATCCCCACCTATTCACAACAATCATGGAGTGAGCATTTCCCACATCCGGAGCCCGTGTCTGAGAGGCAAGGGTCTGACCTCGGCTGAAGCTAGAAAATTTGGGTGCAATATCTTTTGACAACTTTGGCAAGAAGAGACCGAAGCATTAGAGCTTCGGAATCTAGTTGAAAAATGTCGCTTGGACACGTGGTAATTGCATAGCTTAACAAGAACTCCTGGACGAGGGCATACAAGCGTCCTGCATACCAAGCAGCACATGCAATTTCTAACGTTCAGTGGGGGGCCAGCTCAAGACTGAACGCAAAGTATTTTCAAGAAGCTTGCGAAAGACATCAATGATGCACGTCCCAAGGAGGTATTTGCTCGAACACAACCAGTGTGGAGGAAAGCTGGCAGAACACCTGCCTCACTTTCTCAGGCCATGGGCTAGTGGAGACTGAATGAAATATGGAATACGAGGCCAAGCAATTCATGGGCTGATGTTTTTCAACTAGTCGTCGTCGAGTGTTCGAGACAGGACCGGAAGAAGCATTTGAAAAAGAAACGACGTGTGGTCTCCCGCAACAACTTGCTTCTCGTGCAGGCACCGTGCCAAGTTTACATACATGGTCAACAAACAATGTTACCTAAGTCAATCCACCGACACAAAAAGCATGCAGCCGATCAAAAGAAGGCGCGGCGCCTGCTAACAGCATCTAATGGTGCCCGCAGATGTGATGGGCAATCCCACTTGCAATCTACTGTAAACTCTAAACTCTAAACATCAGATCGAGTTGTTGGCGCGTACACAAGGTAACAAGAATGCAGCATGTAGCCATACGCTACCTGGATAAAAGCTGTTTTTTGAAGCTTCCTTGATAATTGACCGATCCAGGCTGACCACGTGAAATGGACTTCCTGATTCTACCGCGGCTGACATAGATGTTGAGAGACCTGGTAAGAAGAAAAACACGTTCTTTGTCCGGAAGTATTCGTGGAGCCTCCAAACGAAACATGCTACTAGATCTACTAGCAGTATCTAGGAGCGCTAGTGTGGCTCCAACAACGTGGAAGGACTTGTGTGATGCTAAGGTAGCGTCCTTGCTCCTAGTAGCGATTCCAGGAGCCCCCAATAGCATCCTTGTTACTAGTAGCTTCTGGTTACTAGTAAGGTAGCGTCCTTGCTCCTAGTAGCGATGCCAGGAGCCCCTAATAGTGTCCTTGTTACTAGTAGCTTCTTGTTACTAGTAGTAAGGCCAGGAGCCCCTAGTAGCGTCCTTGTTACGAACAAAAATCATGGCTTCTAGAGACTGTGTGCGACCACGGGATGGTGCTTCCTCGCCATAACCCCTTAGTCCTGCCTGCTGTGTGGTATCTCACCTGAGGTTTGTAGACGAGAAACATACATCAATAGCTAGTCCAGGTGGCAAGGAAAAGGAAGGCGATGCCTGCGCCACCACCAACCTTAACCTCTGCAGATTTGATTTGATGCCGCCCTCTTTGCTCAAGAGGCATCAAATTTCGCAGTGGATTAGGGAGCCACAGCAACACTAAACGGTATTATGTCCCAAGAGGTGGTCCAGAGTCTAGACAGATCCTAGATGGTCCACCTCTCTGAGAAGTAGGATGGTCTCTAAGCCACCAATGCAATCGGGGCAAATGAGGAAAAAGTCGGCAAACACTGACAAGCACCCCCCTTGGGTGTGTCAGTCGAGTTTAGGGGAAAGGCCCCAGACCAAAAGGAAAACGTGTGAGTCAACCAGCGTGGGCGGAAGGACAATGTACACAAAAAAACCAAAGCACGCCAAGGGCACCAAAAAGGATGCCAGCGCGATGGAAAAATGAAAAACCCGCTCAGGAAGACTCGTGGCACCAGTGAGTGGATCTTCAACAAAAAACAGCAAAGGATGACGAGCAAAGCAAAATGATGCAACATGACATGTGTCATCCATTGATGTTGAGGTTAAAGCGCCTGGATCGAACCTTTATCACGGCGATTTGGAAGTGTTTGCATGGCTGATCGATTTAATTCATTGATTTTTTGGGGAAACAAGTCCCTTTGCAATCGCTTTGGCTGGGTTTAGCCCTCTTGATCCCTGTTTCCCTGTTGGCCTTCTGCAGCGCGACTTCGGTTGCAGCCTCCATAATGATGATCTGCTCCTCAGATATGTGCTTGCACCAGAAACTCCCACTGGATGAAGCATCCGCAAAACATTAAGCATGTTTCATGAACTCTGTCAGGAGACTGCCTGGAAGGTTAATTTGAACAAACACATTTAGCACACACTTTTTTTTTTGGCACGCAGACTCACTGTCTTGTTGCCTCTTTGGGATGGGGGTGAAACCTCTCTCAACGACCCAAGCGGTCGGAGTGTCCTACCGCTTGCGACAAAAGTCGTGTCGCATAGCAGTAGGGATGTACGGATCCCACGGAGACTGAGCTGCTTCGAGGAAAGCATCGTCCATGATCTCAGTCTCCTCGGGGTCCGGGTTGCCTGCCTCAGCTTCTTTGAAGCTGTCAACAACTGCATATGCGATGCCTAAGCACAGCTTCGGAGGGTATTCTTTCAGCTCACAAGTTGCAAAGTTACCCTCAGCTGTGCGACCTATCGATCGAGTTGCAGGCATTTCGAACGATCGTTGTTGCTGAAGACGGCTTTCAAGTGTACGAAGGCCATGAACCATCAATGCTGTGGGCTTTGGAGACTTGGCTCCGAACTGTCCCTGCCAGACTCGGAGCCTTCTCATGGGTAGCAGCGCCAGCATTGCACGTAGAACCCTCAGGCGCCAAATCGACGCCAAACTTGAATCGTCTTGTGGTTCCTCTGGATGCTCAATCAGGCAGCTTGTTGCGGCTCTAATGCAATCTAGCACTAAGAGGATTGTAAACTGCAAGAGCCGTGAGCCAACAATGCATTGAGTGTGTTCTTGCTGACTCAATCCAACCATCCCCCACGGTTCCTGGTTGGTTCGGAGGACTCTGGGCTGGTTGGCACTGCCCTCGTCATGAAGACGGACTCCTCTCGCCCTTGACCAGGTTTCACACGGCGGACCTGCTATGAGCGCCAGTATGTGACCCGCCTTGACCATCTGCCTCAGCCAAGACTGTGCCTGTGCAGCGAGCAGGTCACATCTTTCATCTATTGCGAGGTCGAACGAAAGACAGGTCACTGAACAGCCCGTCTGTCTTGCAAGCTCTTCAATCCAGTACTGGATATCCGCTTCACGTCTGCGACCACTGAAAAGATGAAGTACATATTTGGCTCTTTGCTTGGGAACACAGTCCAAGGACAATGCACGAAAGTTGCAGTCAACAACAAACGCTATATTGCCGCAAATGAGTCCATTCCAGTCCAGGGACTCGGTTGGAACTGCGATTTGTTGCCATAGTCCTTTCAGGACGTCCCAGACACGACCAAAGTATCTTCTATGTTCCGGAGAGCATAATGCGATGGTCTTGCTTGCCATGCGAATTGCGCCCTCCTGCTTTAAATACTCTTGGCCGAAGGTGCGAAGCAAAAAGGATGCTGCACTTTTAACGCCATCTAAGAATGAGTGCAGTTCTTCTTCAACAGGAGCTAAGCTGAGTAGGTAATGAATTGCAGCTTCCTCGAAGGCTTCTGCATTTTCGACACCCGACGAGTTATCCTGCACCAAAGGTCGAAGTGTAGACCACCATGCTTTGGGTCCTGCACATTGCATTCCCGCTAGCGGCGGAATCTCGAGCTCTCTGGCAATTCTATCACCTCCAAAATCTTCCGGGTCGAGATCACTTTCCTGGATAATGCTCCAGCATGTGCCCCTCTTATATTGCCAGCGCTGCTGAAGCGCTTCACTATTGCCATAATATTTTAGGCAGACCGGGCATGTGTCTCCTTTCGCATAGTAGTACTGTGCAGAGAAAACTTCATGCTGTCTATGCTTGTGCACTCCAAGGGCTTTCAATGCGCCAAAGATCTTATCGCAAACTTGGCAACGGAAGGAACCTTTGACTGCTTTCTGCATATTACCGTGTGTCTGCTCGAAAGAAATGACGCCAATTTGTCGCAGCATCTGGAGTGCTTTACATTCAAACTCATGGGCTTCCTGCAACCTCTGAGCATGATGGCGACATGCTTTTCCTACCTGCTTGAGATGCGTCTTCCATTCTGCCCCTTTGTCTGCCAACAATGTAGCCAGACCTTGAACCTGCGAAGCTTCAGGAATACAAAGCCAGTCTGGGCACAGACGATTCTCTTTAAGCCAAAGTAGGTCAGAGTATAGCATATTATGGAGCCAGTTTGATTCTCCCTCCAAGATTGCCCAGAAATCCGCATCAGCAAACTGACAAATCTTTTGAACTTGCCGCAGCCTTTCAATTCTCAGTAGCTGTCTCGGATGCAGAACTCCTAATCTGGCAACAATCTTCTCGTTGGAAGCCTCCTTCCACTCATGTCCATGCAGGACAACTGCAAGTGATCTCAAGAGCCGGAATGCAGCCGTATCAAACACTTGCCATTCCTGTTGCGTCGAAAATGACCAACATGACGCATGGTGATAGAACTTAGATCTGACAATTGCGTCATAAATGTGCAACTTGACTTCTCTGGAGATAGTTCGATTAGCAAAGACATGCTTGCGTAGAGTTCGAAAAGCGCTGCCAGCAATCCCTGCTCTAGAGCGGACTTCCGTTCGAAATTGATGAGCTCTACCAACTAGCCCTCCAAGATGCTTATAGGTAGTAGCAATATGCACAAACCTATTTGCGCCTTCAAAATCCTGAAATGGGATCTGATTGCCCATATCTATTGCAACTTGGCGCTTGGCCTTAGTGGCATTGAGTCCATGGAAACTGAAGATAATTTCAGTCTTTCCTTTTCCGAGATTTAGCTCGACAGCTAAGCTAGCGAATGCCCTGGAGAGGCGATTACAAGCTATGCTGGCAAGTTCTATCAATCGGAATGGATCAGAATGCGAAACTAGCACACAGAGGTCATCAGCCCATATTGGAAGGCATGTGAATCTTCTACTGTCAAGCTGTACCACAAGGTCAAGCTCGGTAAAATCAGACTTCAACTGTCGGATTACACTCCCAAATGCGATTGACCACAGGAGATCTGCCAGCGGGTCTCCCGGACGTGTCCCGGTCATGGAGCATGACGGCATGCCATTGACTCTTGTGGTCCACACATCTTCAAAGAGTGATTGGATGATATTACCTATCTTGCTGGGCACAGAACATTGTTCAAGTGGACAGCGAGCAGAAAATACCTCTCCTATTTGCTGCTTCATGTGCTCCGAACATGGCATGCGATCCAGAAAATCCCTTTGCCTATCTGGCGGCCACTGCCGGAACCATAGCACATCCCGAGCAATTTGATAGTATGCTTGCTTTGCGTCAAGGAATATCACCATTGAGCTGATTTTCCTCTGATGACAAGCACCTTGGAACAATCGTACTGCCTGTGCTGGCAGTGACGTTGGCATGCCTCTTCTGGCCCCTCCTTGCAATGGGGAAGCAAAAGACTCGAAGTATGGCATCAACTTCTCACGGTATGCTCTATGCGTCATTTTTGCCAGCCCCTCTTGAAGACTGATCTGTCTCCAATCTTTTGCGTGTGGTGAGATCCCATTGCTTTTCGGGATCGGCACAATGAGGCTACCTTGCCACTGTAGCGGCTCTTCGAATCGCAGCACGGATTTGAGCACAAGCGGATAAGCTTTGCGTGCAAAGTCTGGTGCAGCATTCCTCAAGAGGTCAATTGGTATTCCAGAGAGTCCCGGCGCTCTCTTTCTGGCAAATTTCAATAGCGCTTGTTCACACTCTTGGAGCGTGGGGACATCAGCCGAAGTAAGCACTTCGTTGGATTGAGCGGTCTCTACAAAGCGCTTAAATGCTTTTTCTTGGTGCTCATGTTGCAAGGCCATCGAATCAACAAACTGACCTCGTTCAGATTCTTGGAAATGCTTCTCCCATATCTCATAAACCTGAAGAGGCGTATTGGCTACTGCCCCGTCTGGCTTTTGTAAAGCTGGTAAGCTGAACTTAGTCTTGTGTTTTCTAGACTTGGTCAACTTTCTCAGCCGTTGGAACAGATGGTCTAATCCTTCTTGCGAGGCTACTGTGACCGAATCTGAAACATAGGCCCTCAGCTTGTGTTTTGCTACGTTCTGGTACTTTCTCATTAGATCTCTTGCAAAGAGCTCGAGTTGCCCTTGGCACCTGCCTCCCTCTGAATTCCAACTACGAAAGTCAGGCAAAGAGCGGTCCTCACACTTATGGTACTTCCATGCTTGAAAGAAGAACCATGTCTGGCAAAGACGACGGAAGGCTTTTAACTGCTTCAACCAGCGTTGTGTGAGACGTCTCTGTCTGACCAACTGAATAGCTTCTTGGTCAAGGAAGGGTTTCTTTGGCTGTCTCTTAGGCTTAGGGAAATATTGTAACATGGCGTCACTCACATGCTCTTCAAAGATCTGCGCATGGGAGGTCGCATCAATTTCCCACGGGATTTGCGGGATTGACAGTGCAATTTGTTTGCAAATAGCTTCACCTGCCGGCGTGTTAATGATGTCCACATCAACACGAGGCTTTCTCTTTGGCATGTTCTGGAATGACGTGCCGATCCATGTCTTGAACTCGATCCCTACAGGCAGATGATCGATTTTCTCGCGACCTGTATCGAAACCACTCAAGTCAATGCTTGTGCCACAGGATGCAAGATCGGACGAAGTGGCAATATAGTCTAAGCATGACCCCTTTTGAACTTCATCCACGTCAGTTGCACTAGAGTGGGACCACGTAAATAATGATCGGCCCTCATCATCTTCTCGAGTTCTTACGACTAGATTTTCTGTCTGCAACCAGTCGAAGAAGAGTTCTTCTGCAGGTGAACTAACATTATAGTGTCCTCGGCATGAACCCAAATCACCTGGCCTCAGGAGCTGTGCATTTGCATCAGCGAGGACAATGACATGATGACTATGAGGAACAGCTCTTTTCACGGACTTGGTTGTTTGTGCCCACCACGTTTCCTGCACTTCTTCTCCTAGATGATTGCTTGGTGCATGTAACACAATCAACGCAAAAGGGACTTTTCCTGCAGCAATGGTAACAATGAGCAGCCTCGGCTCTCGGACTTTCACTATGGCAGACTGAACATCCCATCCATGCTTCTGTC